AGATACATGACTGGTTTAAAAAAGATGGGGAAAAACTGTTCGTAATGAGATGCGCTGTTGTGACTTTGAAACTGTGCTTATATTACTGGGGATATCTTATTCTCTTTGAAAAAACAAATTCAGACTTTCTCTTTTTTAGATTATTTTACACTTTAACAAGCAAAAAAATATTAAAAAAAAATACAAGTGACACACATTTCTCTGTCTTTTTATTTAGTCACAAGATAATTAGCTTTTAAGAGACACTGGTACTTGTATCAAATTATCAGCAGTTAGTTTACCAGGGGGAGGCAGGATCCTTCCCCTTTTTAATACATAAAAAAAAACAACATTTAAGGTTTATTGTGATCCTTCTATCAACAACTTCTATCAAGAACAGGTCTGTAATGATTCAAATTATATTTGGGATTTAAAAATGTTTTGTGGATATCGGCCATAAAACAGTAGATGGAGCCCTAAAACTGTGATGAAAATGTGAAAGTGCAACACCTTAAATCTTTGTTGGAATAAAACTGTAAATGTAGAAAAATAAAATAAATCTAACAAACCGGACAAACAAAAAAATGATTTAGTAACTTTTATTTAGCCTCCTAGATAGGGGACAAAAACGTTTTCTTATTTGGACAGAAAAGGATAGTTTTGATAACAAATGAAAAGATTTTTTGTTGTTGTTGCAGAACAGCAGAACCAGCTTCAAAGCGTTGAACTGCTTCCCAACTAGCTTTGAAATGAGAAAGTCCTTCAGATGAAGGAACAAACATTCTCTACTAGGAAAACTCTTTTTTTTTTCTTAACCATTGTAAGACAAAAAAATCAAAATCTAACTTATTCTACTCTGATACACATAAATCCAATGCAATAGATTGCCTTCAGATATCATTCATTAAACACAGTTCCAGTTGGTATAAATTCACATCAGTCAGATTATACCTAATGCAACTAAGACATAGTTGCAGATATAACTAAAATATAGAAAGAAAGATGAGCAGGTTAAATTACCAAAGAAAGAAAAGATAGATAGATGGTGGAGGAAAGATTTTTGCACAATGCAACTAAATTCTCTAAAACCTTGGAGGAGCAGCAAGGCTACAGCAGGTCAGCAAACACTGCCTACAATCAGCTTATAGTATGTTTGTGTTTTGGTTGTGTTCAGGACACACAGAACATTGGAGGCAACCAACCACCTCACAAGGATTAATCACTTATAGGTCTTTATCATTGGAAGTTACTGTCAGTTCATACTGGATGTCCAGAAAAAAAGCAGACATTCAAGGAGATTCTCCAATCAAAGATGAAAAGACAATATTTAAATGAAAACATCCTGTTTTTCTATTCTGTTTCTACCTTAATTTATATAAAAAAGGACTCCGAGGAGCCCAAACTGCTTCATTACGGTCAGTAATTCACTCAGACCCTGATGGTGGTGTTTGATCATCACTGATCACCCCTGGTTCAATCAGAGAAGGGATGTTTCTCTGATGGTGCACACAAAGAAGGAAAGACGTTCAAACATTAATCAAATTTATTCCAGTAATTTCTACATATCGATGATATAAGCAGACATTGCAGAGGACGATCTCACCTTCTATCTTAGGCCTTTTGCCATCTTTTCCATTCAGCTGATGAACCAGCAGCATTTGGCTCACTTAAACAAAAAGTGAACAGATAAAGAAATGAACAGATGTAGCAGAAAAAGAAATGAATCTTCAACAATGATAAGCTACACTGTAAACAGTGCTATAACATTTCCTGCACACGTGGGTAGTTCTGTAGATGTGAGCCTCTCCGTGTTTAAAAAAAGATAATATATGATAAACTTTATCAATCTCACAAAGGAGAAGTTTGCTTATTAAAGCAGCTCTTAGTAACACGCATGTGGGCTGCAGATAGTGAAAGAATACGCTACCAAAAAAATAACAAGTGTGCAAAACGAGAGATAGTTTCAAGGTTATTTTGAACAGTCAGACACTAGTAGGGATGAAAAAATCTGCCGTAGCTCTCCTTCCTGTTATAAAGCTATCTCAGCTGGCTGCTGACAGGGCTGCCCAGCTCCTCTAGAGTCTGCTGCAGTGGGCGAGAGCAGTAGTCCATGAAGGATGTGAGCTTGGCTACCATCATCCTCTCACCACCTTCAAAGAGTCCAATGGGCAGCCAAGGACAGAACTGGGCCTCCTAAACCAGCCTTTTCAGCCTCTTACCTTCCTGCTCTGTGCTTTGATAGCAGAGGCTAACACAGTCAGCACCATAAGCCTGCACAATCCAAAGGACCTCATTCTCCACAAAAGGTGACCGCACAGTTTACTCTTGAGGTAAACACACAGTTACTTTAAAGAACACATAAGGAAATAAACCACATCATGAAAAAGCATCAGGCCAGCTAAACCAGGCTGAGGTCCTGTGTGTAAATCATTAAACAAATATAAATTTTATAAAAAGGCAACCAAAACGTTAAGGAATGCAATCTGGTTGTAAAGCACACTTGATATTTTAAGTTTAAAAAAAATGCTGTTACTGTATGAGTAGGTAAAAACACAAAACAGCTGTAATTTGTTACACTGTCCAACCAGCACAGGGCAGATAAGACCCTAAATAGGTCTTTTTTATTTTTATTTTAATGTTTTCAATAAAAATGGAGAAGTACCTTTTGAAGGAGGAACAAAAAACACAACTGATAGACAAAATGTAAGCCTGAAAGATTTTTTTTCCATATTTCAGCTCAGAGATCCAGATAGAAGTTTATAGTCAGGAAACATCTGGATTCATGCTCATAAACAGCATATTTGGCATTCAGAGAAACTTATAGTTCATTTAAAAAATAAAATAAAATATAAATCCAGAAGAACAGCTTGTTTCAGCTGAACACCAAGGACATTTAAGAAAGCAGTCCAGCAGCAACAATAGTTACAAATAAAGGTTTCAAAGCTGCTCAAAGGAAAACATGTAATAAAAAACTGTTAGCCACACAGGAACAGGATGGTATTCGACACTCAAAAAGCAGCATTGCTACCTGAATGAATTTAATTCTGCTCGCTTTACTTGTATAGCTCCAATTCATAACACGTCATCTCAGATCATTGGAAAAAGTTTTCTATTGAAGGAAAACCAGCTGATGACATCCATTCCTAGGAGGATGCAGGGACAATAGATATCTGCTTGCATTGTGTCTTTGACTCTACAGCAATCCCTCACACCAAGCATGCATGCAGTGAGAGTGGAGAGAAAAATCTCCCTTTAAACTAGGGGTGCCCCAATACCAAACTGATATTGACCCGATGCGATTAGCGCAAAGCCTATTGTAGAATGTTGGAAAGGCTCGATGAAGTAATATCACTAAAGGGAACAAAAGTCAACAACAAAATGTATGAAACCAACTGACCCATTTTAAATTAACTAATGAGTTACAGAAACGTTAAACAGAGGCAGAGTGTTTCTATCACCATGAAAATATCTGAGATTTTAGATGCCGGTCAAAAAAAGTCAGATTTTTTTTTGCCGAATATAAAAATATCTGATATTGCTACTTTTAACAGGAGTGGAGGTTTAAGGAGATAGAAATAGAAATACAAGAGCAACAAAGAAACACTGTAATCTGTAAACTGGGTCCATAGGATCTGTCTAGGAAAGAAAGTCAAGCAGATGAGTCCAGTTTTGTTGTCAAAAGGGATCAAAGGAGGATGTTTCAGTCTCTGCTCCAATGACCTTTACAATTCATCATTAAGCATTAAGAGTCATCCTTAAGCTTCAGCAGTTCTAAGATAGATCAGTGATCTACAACCTTGGCTTTGTAGCTCACTTAATTTGCCAATCAAGCACCTTTGTCCTATTATATTTATTTTTTAACATGTGTTTTATTCTTTAGTTCTTTGCTGCCCCACTTCCTGGTAAATAAGATCTAAAACTGCCTCTGACTATGAAGCTTGTTGATCTGTATAGTTTAACCTGTCAGAAGGGCACATTCAGTTAGTCACAGCAAAAGTTTAGCAAATAGCTACTGGTATGTCTAGGAGAGAAACAGGACTAAGCCCTAAAAAGCAGGCCCAACCTTATCATCTGCAATCACAGATGTCGATGAGAGAAGCTCAGCTGATATTTCCCACCACAAGGATCTAACAGCCAAACAGAGCCAGAAAATGAAGCTAAAATGCTAAAAGAATGAAGCAGAAAAGTCTGATCTGAGAAAATATCCTAGAAGATTAGAAAGATCCTGTAACACTTTCATGCATAAGTCATTGAAATAAAACCTCATTGTTACTGAAATTGAGTTTTTTTAATTTTATATTTCTCGATATTTGAGGATCTCAGAAGCAAATAGACATTAATCTATACCTTCTCTTGGTTATTAGACTATTGTTTATGAAGTTTGTAACTATCATAATTACTAATAGTGTCTCACACAATGTTAGAGACAGGTTTAGACACTTTATATCAGCTTTTAATCTTTATATTCCCACTAATTGACTAGATGAGTTTTCTGAGTAAATTGTTGACATCAGAGAAAAAAAAATAACAGGCAATAATGCCTTAAAAAATGAATTACCATTGATATTTTCCCCCCTCACAGTTTGTCAAAAATATAAATGTACTTTTGTGGGAAGAATTTTGCAAACATAAAATATAGCATCAAACCCATTCAGTCTGTTTTACCGTGATGTTAGAGCAGGGCTCTACGACATGCAGCTCCTCTGACTCACTACTGTGGCTCTTAATTAGAATGAAGAACTAATAATAATGCTTCAGGTTAATAAAAATATTTTTCTTACTAGTCTTGTTTGTAAGTCGTCTTGTTTTTTCATTTAATTTCCCACAAATTATATTCTATTGAAGAAAATCCAGGATTCCTGCTGCACTTTACAGAATTGAAATTTTGTGGAAGCTGTACAAAACTAAATTTTGTTTTATATAAACTATAAAAAATGAAAATAAAAGTTGTCTGAGTCTTAAGTCTATGAACACTTTTCTGTTTTTCTTATTCCATAACCTAAATATATAAACTGTTGTTTTAAAACTGCAGCAGATGACCTAGAGCATATATTCAACCAAAGTACAGGAAGTGTTTAATGAATTACCTACATGACTTTTATTTTGCTGGACTCTTAGTAAGATGGCTCTTTGGATTTTAAAGTTGTAGACACCTGCGATAGAGCAACCAACTGGCCAACCCTGATTAGTAAATCAAACTCACCTTTGTGTGATTCAGCCTCAGAGGTTTGTTTGAGAACAGAGAGAACAGGAGCAATCATCAATCAACGGAGCCCTCAGGAGGTCCATGGTGGGAGTGGCTCCACAGATCAGGTAGGAAGTTCTGTTTGAGTAACTGCTGGTTGTGCCCTTTACAAACAGTGGTGGAAAGTAACAAAGTACATTTACTTGATTACATTTTTTTGAGTATCTTTATTTTAATTGAGTATTTTTTGGGGGGGCGGTACTTGTAGCTTTCCCTTCACTCCATTTCTAGGAAGCTGGTGGTTCCATGTTCCTAAGGATTTTTTTTTGTTAAAGTCACAGAAATTCTTCAGCATTTAGTATAAAGATAAGTCAGGATCACCAGACAACACAGAGAAAATATTCAGTCACAGAAATGAGCAACAAAAAAAACCCCTGGTTGTTTTAAATGTTGCTGAAACACAAATTTTAAGTATTTGTTGCAACCGTGTTTAATTGAAGGCAAGTTTATTTCCATCCCACAATTTAATGTACTTTAGATGAATTAAACAGTAAAAAGCTAAACAAAAACAAATAAACTTTAACTGATAATACCTCAGTTAACAGTTGTACTTCAACAGTCAAAGGCAGCTCTAATCAAATGGGGTTTTAACTTTAAAGGACTCAGCCTTTCAGCACTTTCCCAGTATTCTGGAAATGTATTCCAGATCAGTGAAGCATGGGAACTAAAAGCTGATTCTCCATGTTTGGTTCTGGGTGGCTGGAAGGTTCATATATACTGAAAACAAATCTGTTAAAATGACCTTTTGTTGCTACGGTATTTTTATAATGAAAAAAATCCACAAATAAGTAACTTTTTTGTTATCTTTTAATGACATTTATCACACATTGCTCTAAATTAACATATAATTAGTTTAGAGAAAAGCCCTATCTGTGCGTACTACATAAAACATAACACCCCCCCCACACACACAAAGAAACGAGTATAAGCAGTGCTTGCAGAAAAATAAATGGATCTTGAGCCAGTTTTTACACCAACCCTCAACCCAAATGGATATTTTAGGCTCCATAGTGTTTAGCAGTGACCTGCACAGGGAGGGCACGATTGCCCCCCCCCCGTCAAATTTTAGCTCACAGCGTGTGCTAAGGTGCCCTCTTCAGTGATGAGGAGGCACTGCTGTATATGTGCCCTTTTTTCTCTCTGCTCCTGCCCTTCAAAAAGCATGCCGCTTTTTTGTACCTCATTGTCAGGTCTAAGCACCTAAAACATCATACATGCAGGGAAAGAAAGAAGGCACAGAGGTAATTAATTTAGTTTTACTCGCGAGGAGAGCAAGAAGGGTCTGCAGAGTTTACAATCCCTACCTCACTCTGCAGTCCCAGCATTCTGCTCGCTATTTATTAGAAATCAGGGGTCTCATGTTACAATAGCTGAGACTGCTCTAGAAATGAGAAACATGAGTTGCAGTCTCAGTAAACATCCTCTAAATCTCAGGGTTCAGTCAAAGTTTAAGCGGTTGAAGCTGTTGAGCAGGTTCAAGTGCTGCACGTAAATCAACCACAAACTCCCCAAAAGCAAGTTCACAAATCACAGTATACTTCAGAAAAGGTGGCTGTGAACACCTCCATATAGCACACAGCTTTATGCATGATAACACTACACAGATACATTTATATACAATTATTCTAACACTCATGAGTTAAAATTTTATTTGAGCACAAATCCCTGAGTAAACAGAAACCTAAAGTGGCTGTTTTGAATATCATCTATTTGTGAATTTAAGATAGATTGTAAATTTTAACTGCATATACTGTAACCAGTTCAACACATCACAGTGAAAAAAAATGATGCAACAACTTTTAGCATTTACTTAATCATATTTAGTTACTTTAACACAATTCTTTCATGTTAGCAGGGCAGGACATAAAACAATTATGTTGACGTAACAACATTAGAGAAGAAACAACTTTAGAGTGTATCCATAAAAAAAAATGCTTAAAATAAGAAGTTTAATAGTTTTTTTTTGTCAAAGTTATGCAATTGACAAAATAAGTTTTTTTGTGGTCTCATTTATAAAACATAGTGTAGGATTCATACTAAAAGTCTGCTGAAAATGAACTAGCAGCCTGCATTTTGACGTCAAGCCACTGTTGAATCAACATCGGTTGGTTGCGTCGGATAATTGTTGAATTTTGTTTAGATTTGCTGTTCAACGTTGTTTTGATATTGAATCAATTTGTTTTCCAACAACTTTTAAACGTTTGACATTAGTCGAATGCGAGCTGGGTAGTTCACATTCATAGTTCACTTCTTCTAAGTTCCCGAACCTATAAATGAACTAGTTCAAGTTATTTTGGTAAATCAAGCCACAATCCTCCAGAGTAGAACCTCATATTTCCCCTTTTAAATGTGTGATCATAATATATAAAAAGAAATTGAAAAAACACGATGCGGTCAAGGTATACTGGATGTGCAGAGAAGAGTTTATTCAGCCAAATAACGTAGAACTTCAGGAACATTCAGGTTCTGCTGAAAAGATCTGGATCAAAATAATTTCTTCCATTCCTCATTCAGTAGCAGATATTTCCCAAGATAGCTCGGATGCTTTAAGTCAATGTGTGGCTTTAAATGTGAAGTGAGTGTGACTGACGTACGCACTTATTTAAATGCCAATGGGAAGAGTTTGAACCAAAAAATAGATTTTTCTTTTTTCTGTCCCAGTCTTCCTTTGTTAGTTGATCAAACTCTGTCAAGGGCTCTGCTAAACTGGCATCAGAAAGGCCGGCCGATGAGTCTGAATGAACTAGTACTAGCAGTAGACATGCTGCTCTGTAATGCAAATTGTCCCAAAATTTAGAACATTTCTATTTAAAAAAAAAAAAAAATCCTGTCTTAAAATCTGTGAGTTTTTTTTCGTTATCTTATGCAGGCCAGTTGGTTATACGTCAGCCTGAACACTTAAATTCAGCCAATCGTATATCAACAATCATCTGTCAATTAAACTTTTTAGGGTCATAGCATCTTGATTCATATGTAGCAGCTAATATACGCAACGGTTGAAATAAAAAAATCAGAATCCTTTCCTTTCCCATTGAGTTGCGTCCCAGTGTTCACGGGGATGGACGTCTGTGTCTTCGGCAGGCGTAGAGCTAACAGAACTGACAGCGCTGCGAGGCAAGGGCTCAAACATGGACGGCTGGAAGCCTTCTACAACAAACCTACTTCCACAACATCTTCTTCCCGGCTTTCCTCCTCTAAATAAAGAATGTACGATGGAGGAGACTCATCCACGAACTCCGACAAAAAAACTCTCCTCCTCTTGCATGTTTCCACTGTCCATAGCGTTCCTTGACAGCGTCGTTTTAGTGCTACTTGGTCCCAATTTAATGTCCCATTGGGAACCTACTAGCACTAAGTTGCTAACTGGTTAGCAAGATGATTCCGACAAACCGGCCACAACCTTGCTTGCTAATATTCCACCAAAGCAATCCCGCCCCCTTGATAAACGACAAATCACATTCACTTTATTCACTCATGTAAAGTCGTGCACCACTCGGGAGAATTTGGAAATGCAACGGTTGGAACAGCCGTTTCCTTAGGAATTTATTTTTCATAAAATGTATTTAATTTTATTCTGTAAAAGTTTAGAAAAAACGATCCACTGGACTTGGTTTTCAAGGTCTGAAGACATTTCGCTCCCTCTCCAGGAAGCTTTCTCAATTCAAATTGCGAAAGCTTCCTGGAGAGGGAGCGAAATGTCTTCAGACCTTGAAAACCAAGTCCAGTGGATCGTTTTTTCTAAACTTTTACAGAATGACTCTGACCTGGATGACTGGGAATCTTCATCAGCATATTTAATTTTATCTAAGAGCTGGATATGTCACCAGATTAGTTTGCAGAAATCTAGTCAGCCTAAGCTTTAGTGTGAGAAGGAATGTGAGGAATGTGGCAATAATAACAGACAGTAAAGCAATGTATCATCAAGTCAGAGTATCGGATGATGACGCAGAACTGCTGAGGTTTTTGTGGTGGCCAGAAGGGGAACTAACACAGCCGCTTACAGACTATAAAATTTGTTGTTGCATTTAGCAATAACCATATAGCAACAACATGCCATGTCATCTGCTAGCTGTGCAAATTTTTCCCTCAAAAAAAAAAGCTGAAGACAAGAAAACAATCCCCTGACATGAAATGGTGGACTCAGTGATGATGTTTTTTGTGGATGATTGCTTGAAATCTGTGGAATGTGAGGAAGTTGCAATCCCTCTCAGAACGGCCCTTACTCATTTGTTTGCATCAGGAGGATTTCACCTTAATAAGTGGGCAAGTAATAGCGGTGCATTGTTGCAAACTATCCTTGAACATGAATGAGCCAGCAAAATAGGAAATCTGGATTTAACTAAAGCCATTAGAATACGTATTTCCTGTTGATTTGCATGCAAGAAAAATCAGGCAAAGCTTCAGGAGCAGCTAATGGCTGATTTAATTCCAGAAAGACTTACTCCTGACAAACCACACCTTACAAATGTGGGAATGGACTACTTTAGACCTTTTTGAGGTCAGGCATAGTCAAAAGGTATGACATCATTTATCTGCTTAACTAACGATTCTATAGACACAGATAGCTGTATTAATGAACTTTGATGTCTCAAGTGCAGAAGAGGTCAAGAAGAGCTCATTAGGTCTGACAACAGCGCAAACAAGGTTGGAGCTGAAAAGGAGCTATGCAAATCACTCAAAGATAGATAAAAAAACAAAGGCATTCAATGGCTCTTCAACCCTCACTCTGGATCTCATGCAGCTAGTTAAAAAAGGTTTAAAGCTGGTTCTTTATCAGCAAACAGTGGACCAAAAATGTCTTCAAACTCTTTGCTGTGAGGTTGAAGCTATTATCACCATCAGGTCAATAACAATGTCTTCTGATGACCCCATCAATTTGGAACCTCTAACCCCAAATCACTGCCTTTGACACCGTGGACCACGACATTCTGCTCAACCGTCTCCAGTCTATAATAGGCCTCTTAGGAACCAAACTAAGATAGTTCCAGTCATACTTCAGAGAGGACAGAGCATGTAACTTTAGAACAGTCCCATTCATCTCCTCACGCAGTTATCTCTGGAGTGCCACAAGGGTCTGTGCTCTGTCTGACCCTTTTCACCATCTACCTTATACCCCTTGGTCATATCATCCATAAACACAAAGTTTTGTTCCACTGCTATACACAATTAGACATAAAAATGGACTTCACACTCCAGTCAGCTCTGCCGTCTGCATTTCAGGTCCGCCTATAGGAGATAAGGGCTTCGATGTCTCACACCTTCCCTCAGTTAAACGGCCACAAAACCAAAGCCATCCTGATCGGCACCCCACATCCAACCCAGTCCTCCTTCTTTACCAGTATACCAATTATTGGCCATCCCATTCCTCTGTCCACCTCTGTTACAAATCTTGGAGTCAGATCTGACACCCACATCCGCCACCTCTGTAAGGTCTCCTTCCTCCATCTTAAAAACATCACCAAACTTTATCCTTCCCTCTTCTTACCTGATGCTGAGAAGTTGATCCGTGCTTTTATCTATTCCAGGATGGATTACTGCAATGCCCTCCTCATCGGGATCCCTGGCAGGAGCCTGCAAAAAAACCCAGCATATTCAAAATTGCATTGCCAGGGTCCTGATGAGGAAACGCAAATATGATCATATCACTCCGGTCCTGTAATCACTCCACTGGCTCCCGATTCAACACAAAATCCCATTACAAAATCTGCCTCTTCGTTCTTCAGTGCATACATGGAACTGCCTCTGCTTACCTCAGACTACCTAATTCCAGCACCAACCCAGGACCAGATTCTCCACTGTAGGATATAAGGCCTTCCATGCCCCACATCTATGGAATGCTATCCCAGTGACCCTGAGGGTGCCACAAACTATGAAGGTGTTCAAAAAGCACCTGGAGGTATTCTTATTTCAAATGGCCTTTTAATACTTATGGTTTGAATTTTGTTGTTATTGTTGTCTTTTTTTTAATACTTTTAACCGTTTTTACCTCCTATTGCAGCATTTTTTATTTGATATGTAAAGTGCATTATCAATAAAATGTAGTATTATTATTATTATTATTATTAAGGAAGCAACCTTTGATGGCTCCCAGTTTGTTCAATGTTAAAGACTCCTAATCTAGACGGGATGGAAGCACACCCAATATATGGCAGATCTGTTTGGGAAGCGTTGGGTAAGAGAATATTTCCCAAACCTCCAAGAAAGACAAAATTGTGTTAAAGCAAGACAGAACCTTGCACCTGGGGACATTGCATTGATACTTGATGAAAATGCACAGAGGAAATACTGCTTGCTTGGAAGGACCCTGAAAGCAATTGTGGATGACAAAAGACTGGTTCAACGAGTGCTTGTGAAAACGAAACCAGCACGCTTGAAAGGCTTGTAGGCTTTGTAAACTTTGATGGATTTGCATGTCATCAATATCCATTTGTTTTGGTGAGTATGGGTGTGGCCAGGTATTGTTTGTTCTTCAGGTGGACAGGTGGTGGAGCCTGTGTGTTGAAGAGAAAGCTGGCCTGGGTGTAGGTCCAAACAGATTTTTTGACCGTCTCCTTTGGATGTAAACCCTTTTGCATTGACTTGCATGTGAATTCCCTAAAATCTTCTTCATCCTGATCCTCATTAAAAACACCAACTACTTGCCATGTAAGTCTGAAAATTACATTTTTCTTTTAAGTATCAGCGGAGGACACATCAAGCTAAAGCTAATGCCCAGTCTGCTTTATGTGGCTTCCACTCAAGTTTGTCACTATGATATATCTGTGCCTTCTTTTTGTTTGCTGTAACGCTATAAATGTGAAGGATAAATGTTATACTGAAGCTGCACCAGAGGAGGATTAATTAACTACCAGGTAGAAAAATAAATAAATGAATAATTCTGTAATGTTACTGTGAAATGGATCATTGATCATGCAGAGCAAAGAGTCTGTATGAAACTGAAATAGAAATTCTAAAAAGTTTCATTTAAGTCGAGGACATTAAAGTAATTTTGTACTCTTGTTGCATTTCATGACTTTCATTTTTTTTAAGCGGAGCAGATTTTTATGATTCATCCTGCTGAGTTAAGACACAGCTCAAAAATCAGGATGGTTTCACTCAATCTGATCACTTCTTGTATTAATATGATGCAATCGTGGCATCAGCTTCTAGCTTTCTTCTAGCCCCAACATTATTGAATTAAAAAGTCTCACTAACCAGATTGAATTTTTATTTTGTATTATTTTTTTGTTTTTAATCTGCTCTCAAGTCCTCACCCCCGAGGGGCATGCAATTAATATGCTCTACAGGGATTGGGATACAGTCTGTGTTGAATAATACTGATGTGTGACTTGTGTATTACCCAGTCAATGCTATTTGGCGTCTCTTTGATAATACTGTTCTGTTAGATGAGCATACCGCGTCAGACCATCATACCCATAGCCAATACAGTACGTATGCGCAAGATGTCAGATTTATATTTTATCCCTTTAGTTTTGTATGAAAAAAGTAATTAAGTAGTTTTTTTGTACATGACTAAAGGGATACACACACTTTGAGGTAGTTTAAAGTCTATTTTTCATACAAAACTAAAGGGATGAACGGATAATGACTATTGGTATAGTGGTCTGACCAGCTATACTCATCTGACAGAACAACGCCACCGTGTTCAATTTTTCATTGAGAACTTTATTTCTCTTCATATTTCTGTAAAATTAGTTTTTGTCCATCACAGGACAAATACTGCACTATTACTTGGGTGCCTATGATTGTCATTGGTCTGCTACCTTGAACCTGCCCCTTTATACGTGCACGTTCACAGATTCATGATCAGTTCAAGCTTGATTGAGTTTGTGAGTTAATAACCAGCTTGGTGGTACCGCTGATCTGATGTTTTGGATTGGTTCAACTGAATAGGATGTGAGTAATCCTGCTACTTTGAGCTTGGTTTGTGGTACGGGCCTCAGTCAGAAATGTTTGTTGTTGGTGAGGGAGGCGCAGAGTCATATAAGTATGCTTGCTAGCTACAGCAACTCAATTGAGTTTAGTTACAAAGCACCAAGTTGCAACACATGTAATCTGGAGGCCTTTTACAAAGACAATTTGATCAAATTATAGACATCGGTTAAAGGTTTTCTATCTAATGAAACCCAAGTGACTGCATCAGGTCATTGACTTTTTAAGATTTGATAAACATACAGCTACTGTACAGTAGATATAGGACTGACTCTCAAGTGATCTCACTGAGCATGCATCAGTGATGGTAGATAAGAAAAACTACATTTTAACAGGAAGAATCCTGCAGCAAAACCAGGCTCAGTGAGAGCGGCCTTCTCTCAGGTCCGTCTTGGGTTTAAGGAGACAGAAGCCCACATACACAAGGAACATAACTGCACTGATCCACAAATACTGTGATATAGAGGGAAACAACAAATTAGCTCCACAGGTGGCTCTAAGTTAAGCAGCTGAGCTCTGCAGCAGTTTTCATATCAAGAAGGGTGAAGGTACGACATACAGTTAGTCAGAGTAAAAGCTGAGTCCATAGATATGTCTATGAGAGAATAACACAAAGTACTGGAAAACAGACCCAGCTTGGTCATGGATATCGGCTGCAGCCGTCCATCTAATGCCTCTCTCTGGGATGATGTCACAGCTGAACAGAACACCAAATGAGGTCAAGCTACTATGGTGAGAAAAAGCGGAGACCATAAAGTTAAAACTTCAACAAACAAATGCTGCAGAATGGTAGAATAGAGGTAGAATAAAGCAGAATGATGAAAAGTGGGGGTGCAGCACGGTGGTGCAGTGTAGCCTTGCAGCAAGAAGGTTCTGGGTTTGATTCCTGGGTGGAGGGTCTCTCTGCATGTTTGCATATTCTCCACGTGAATGCATGGGTTCTCTCCGGGTACTACGGCTTCCTCCCACAATCCATAAACATGACTATTAGGTTATTTGGCTTCTCTAAATTGTCCTTAGGTGTGCATGGTTGTGTGTATTTGTGTGTCTCTGTGTTGTCCTGTGACAGACTAGCGACTTGTCCGGGGTTTACCCCGCCTCTTGCCTATTGACTGCCGGAGATGGATTATAGTAAAGAATAACGACAGTTAGGCCTTGAAGTAACACATGAATAGACCAGTTCATCAGCTGTTGCTTCACACCACATCAACTATTGCTTCACACCAAATTTTCACACAGATGGTCAATGTGAAGCAATAGTTCATATAACTTTAATGATGTTTAGCATTAATTGTCAGTTTGATATGAAATGGATAACAGCAACACCTAGTCTCAAACTACAGGAAATACTAAATAAACTAAAGTAGTGTTTCCAATGTGGTCAAGATTTGCTACTCAAATTGAGGCAGACTATTATCCCAACAAACCTGGAGTCCAAAGGCTGAATTTGATTGTGTAGGAGACTTTAACCCTAAATGCCAAATGTATCGTATTTGATACATATGGTTTCTGAAATGTTTTGCGTCTGACATGTTTTGCATAATTTAATGGTATAAACTTTGCTCAAAATCCTATTGTACACAATCAGATATACCTGATAACAGGGGGCAGGAGACTACACAAAAAGTTATCTTGACTTATCGCATAGTAAGAAATTATTATTATCAAAAATGTTTTTCTGTTTTTTCTTTTTACATATTTTGTTTAAAGGCCAAATAAGAACTTCAAACCAAAAAAAAAGTAATTTTCTGTTTTGTTTTCTTCTTGGATCGGGCTTTAAAGGGTTAACAGAGATAATGATAATGAGTCCAACAAAACCAAAAATATCTTCCTACTGTCTCTCCGCTGTTATTTTTAAAATGTAGAACTTACCAAATTCTGCAGAAACTGAGGCAGACTATGTAATCACTGATGGCATAAGTGTTGATATTTTGTGGAGTGGAAAATGAAAGCAGAAGCATGAATGTTTTAATTGTTGCTGTACCATGATGCAACAGCAAACACAAGATAAACAAAAAATCAAAATTGTCACTGAATTATATGAAGTATTAAAATTTAAAGCATTTTATGTGCAACAAAGAAAATCACTTTGCTTTTCTGCTTGACGTGTCAGGAAACCACAGGAAAAAAAAGCAGCATAACATGAGTTGATGAGAAACTTTCAGTTCCTCCTACCCGCATTATACAGCTAAAACTTAAACATGGGACACAAGCCCAACCTTTCTGATGATAGTTGGTGTCTTAAGGGGACTCCTGAGAATTTCAAAGGAAGCTGGAGCAAACAAAGGTGCAGCACCAGTTCTGCAGATTACACCAAAGAACTAACTATGTTTACCTAATCACCTGAGATGTAAGCCAATATGTTTAGAAACGTTTTTTCTTTTTATTCAACACTTTTACTGGTTTGTAATAGTCATTGCAGCTGATAGCAAGAGAATGCAAAAGCTGAGCCATCTATTTTTTTGTACTGCAGCGACATTCTTGCTTCAGATGGAGACAAACTGAAGCACAGACTTCAAGCCTTGGGTGTGTCGGAGCCTCACTCTGCTATGGCTGGACAAAGGTATGTAGTCTTTCTAAATCCTTCTTTTCTCTCTGTATGACTGTTGTTTGAAGTAGGGAGGAAGGGATAAAAAAAGTACTGTGAAAAATTATTCGTATAAAAAATGTGATGATACTTTATTACATGATCTTGCTGTGTGTGACATTTGAGTTTTAGTTTCTTATCTCTTTCTCTTCCCTGTTTTTAATTGGTGAAGCAAAGATGGCCATTTACTTCATTTAATGCAGGAGGGATCTCACCTTGATGCCGTGGCTCTTTGGAAGCGCAACATTAAAGCCAGAATAAAGCTGGAGTTTCATTTCCACAGGGCCACACGGAAAAATGAAGGGTTTTATTCAGTTACGGGGTTTTGATAATATTTTATACACTGTGTCAGATGAAGGACAAGTACAGTTTAACAAGTCCCTCATTAATGATTTTTGAGCTGACATTTGTTTTACATCAATATTTGCTTCTATCGTTTGGATTGTGTAGATACAGTGTTGTTAAAATACAAAAAAATCCTTCCCTGTTGATGATTTGTTGTTCCTGCCTTTTTTGGTAGATTAGATTACTGTAGTTCATTATTCTTTTTGTTTTGTTTTTTCCTTCTCATATATCCTTCCCTTTATCTCTCTGTCCTGCTGCTGCTTGTTTCTCTTTCACCCTCTGCTCTTGTCTTTTTCCTCAGGTGTTGCTCATTGCTAACCTTCATGTATTTCTTCTGGCATACAGTCGCTGTGTTACTCACCTGTTCTCCATGCTTTCTCTCTTTGCTCTCCTCTGTATATAGCTGGCGGGCTTTTGTCTTCCATTTGCTGGTTACTTCCTTTTGGCTGACCCACATCAGTATTCTGCCACATAAATGATCGGTGTCTTTGAGCAGCTCTTATTTTACCCATGTAAGTTGACTTTTAATTTCTAATCTTATAGAACTAGTTTCTGAGCTCTTGTCTTCAGTTTGTTCCTGATATAACTTACCTATTCTTGAGACCTTTGTTCTAACAAATGCTTTTTTTAAAATTATTTGTTTTTCAGCCAGGAAATGGAGAATGATGACAAACTTGCAGAAAGCCGGCGATGTTTCAGCTTCTCACGTCGCCACAGTCTGTTCTTATTTTTGACTCTGGGAGTCTTGTTTTTCTTCTACAGCACTAACATCAGGGTCATGACGTCCGACTGGATCCCTAAACAGTGGATACAAAACCACCCAACGAAATCCTCCTTCCCATTCAGGAAACAAACTACTCTATTAAGAAACACTAATGTGTCCAAAGCCAGGCTGGCTGCTGCTGCTTCTCCTGGGCCCACAATCAAGGCCACCAGAGGTAAAAGTCCTCAAAGCACAGCCATCCTTCCAACGCACCGTTCAGTGACTCAACTGCAAAGGAGGCTTTCATCATTGGGAACTAAGAAAATGCTAACAACTCAAACTCTCCATAGGACGGCCATTCCCTATGTATCTCCTGGGCCCTACTTGGTGGAGTACCCTTATGAGTATCGCTATATCATCAATGAGCCTCAAAGATGTGAGCAGGAGAAGCCATTTGTGGTTCTGATTGTTCAAGTGGCGCCACGCAACAGAGCTCACCGTGACGTCATCCGCAATACCTGGGGAAGTGAGAAGCTGGTGAACGGTAAAGCTGTGAGGCTCTTCTTCCTACTTGGAATGCAAACTGGAGATGACACACAGCAGGTCCACCAGCAGCTGCAGCAGGAGAGCAAAGACCATCACGACCTCATCCAGAGTAACTTTGTGGACTGTTACAAGAACCTGACCATAAAGACCATGGTGATGCTGGAGTGGCTGAACTCTTTCTGCTCCAGCACTCCTTACGCCATGAAAATTGATTCAGACATGTTTCTGAATGTTGCTAATCTTGTCAATATGCTCTTACAAGCTCCAACGACAAACTACATGACTGGCCTGGTGGCACATGGGGGACAAGTCTTAAGGGATCTCAATTCCAAATGGTACGTTCCTGTGGACCTTTTCAGTGAATCCGTGTATCCTCCCTACGCTTTGGGTCTGGGCTACGTTTTGTCTATTGACCTCACCAAAAAGCTAATTGAGGCTTCTAGACATGTTAAAGCTCTTTACATTGAAGATGTTTATTTAGGCCTGTGTATGAGGCACCTGGGTATCCATCCAACAGACCCCCCAAATGGGTTCTACTTCCATGTATTCCCTCTGGGATACAATCGATGTAGTTACTCCAAGATAATTGCCACTACAACTCAGCAAGACACGGATCGAGTGTGGCTCTGGAAGGACTTTAAAAAAAATGGTCAGTACTGTTGATTTGTGTAGAAGGTTGAAAATAATTGTACTGAAATTAATAAAGAACTTAAACGCCTCAGAAAAGGTCATTGCTGTTTTAAGGGTGTTCTTAAAACTGAAAGGAAGAAGGCGGTGCCAACTCCTCAGCAAGAAAAGTCCTTATTGGCTGTCAGAAAAAGCAGTAGGGAGTCTGAAAAGGTGCTGTTTTTAGTGACAACATTGATAAGTTGGAAACACTTAGACTTTGACAACTTTTGTTGTCATTTTGTATACGCAGTGTTTGTACAATATGGATTTGATGTTGAAGTTCAGAGCTTTGAATACATGTTGTGCAATTATGCAGTGTTTTGGTTTGGTGTTGTCAGTTTGATGCAGAGTCTGTGACATGATTTAGAGTTTTTTTCAATAGTTCAGCTGTTTGATGGCAGTGGGGAAGAACAGGGAGAACAGTCAAAGTCCAACATTGGTCCAAGGCTGTTTTTATTGAAGTATAATTTAAAATGAAAACCTTTTTGTACCAATGTCTTTAAATTCCTGGTCTGGTGGTGGCTTAAAGGTTCTTGGAAGATCTGAATAAACTGACTGCATGACCACGAGCACCTGCTTTTCTCACTGTTAAATAGAAGTTTCGATAAAAGGTAGCTACAATGCTGCTTAAAGACTGAAATCACGAGTTCTAAAACATAAAGAAAGCCAATGAAAGCCAGTGTTTAGAAAAGATAAAACTTGAGACACACACAAACTGATTTTTCTTGAAAGAAATATCTGCCCAGCATCTGCCTTTTACCCCAAGTTATTGAACTATTCAGCTAAAATGTTGATGCAGCTTTAATTTTGGTTTTACTAATTCAGGAAAACTTTACCAGAAGGTGAAACTACAGGTAGGTTAAAGTGAGACTTTCTTGTTTGGACCAAAGCATTGCTATTTTAATGTAACCTGCTAGCTGAGCCACTGCAAAGTACTGCTAACTCCTGCTATTTGCCAATCCCACAACATGCACTAGTTTATAAACCAGATCAAATTTTAACGATTTTGAAATTACGTCTCCATGGTGATGTTTACATTTTGGGTTCAAGTAACATTAAAAAAACTCCAATTATTCTATTAATCTATTAAACCTGACCCACTTTGAAAACCATTAAAGAACTTATGAAAGTGATGTAATTACCTAGATGTCCACCGCAGATTCTCTAGAGATTTGTTTCTTTAATTAATATTAATTAACAGGCATCAGTATAGAATTAATCTAAGTGCACTAGCTCGCCCTGTTTTTCTAATGCTGAGGAAGTCTGAATGGTACATTTGTTGAGCAAATAAACATCCTTATTTGCATTTGCGGATTCGTGACTTTACTGACTTCTCAGATGGGATGTAATGGTGGAGCACGGTCCTCCACCCGAATCGAATGGAAAGGTGTAACTTTCCAGCCATGCATGAGTTAGAACAGACATGTATGAATCCTTTTGACCAAGAGTCTTTTCTTTTTTGACAGTAGTTGGTTGGTTGATTGACAGGGAGACATGCATGAAGTTAAATACTTTTCCTCCCCTAAACTTTAAGTCTTTGCTTTTTTTTTTTTTTTTACATATAAGGAAACAAAGGATGCAGCCTTTCCTATACAGACATACACATAAGCACTTTCTATAAGGACAAAATGAAAATAATATGAATAAGAAAGATGCAATGGAAGAAAAAATTACTGCAAGTATCTGCTTGTGAGCATTAAAAGTAATAAGTAATAGTCTTTATAGCCTTTTCACTGCCAGTCTTTTTTTCAAGTAATGTTCAATGTACATTATGGATAAGTAAAAGAGCGCTCTCCTCTGTATTGTGTTGTTTTGTGAAAGTTTGCAAAAACAAATGCTAGAAAGAAAAGTTCATGAATCCCCTCAGGCTGACCTCTATGATGCGAGACAAAACCTCTTTAAAATACTAAACTAAGTCGGGTTAATAATTAGAGATCATAGTGATATTTTTCTCTTTTAGCAAGGGTTAGAAACCCAGGCCAACAAAACTGGATTTAAATGCCTGAACCCCCCCCCCTCCTCCTGAAGGTATTCACGATCCTTCTAACTGATAAGAGCTCATTCACCCTCTGCTCTCTCTCTCACTGCAAGTCTGACTGAGAAGTTTACCTTGTTTGAATGATTGATTTTTGGACAAAGCAGCAGACATTTTATTATTAACCAGAATTCCCTGTCCTGGCCTGTCATACATTTTCCAAATAAGGTCCCCGTCATTGTATTGAACAACAAGAGATTAAAATGGAAGATTTCTACCCAAGAGAAGGTCACTTTCTTAGGTTTGACACTTTTGGGAATTTCCTGTTGATCTGGCAATGGTAGCATAACCAATACCTTGTCCAGACTGGCGTCTTTTGGTAAAATCTTCCTTTAACTGTGCTCCTGCTGTCTGTTTCTTTTTGCATCAAACCTCATTTCAAATCAGTATTAACATTGTTTCAGGCTTTTTTTTTACCACTACAAAACATTAAGTACTCATTAACATGATAAATAATTTATGACAGCTTTAACTTTATAATAAGCCTCACTGCATTCAGCTCTACAACCTGCATCCAGCTGCCCAAATCTTATCTCATTGCTTTTATAACAGGCTCTTTTCTTTACTGTCGGTTTTCTCAGCTACCTGTAATTCAATCAAAACATATCACATTATGGAAATCATTGCCTGTCTTTTACTAGTTGCAGATACATTGATTAATCATATTGTTAATTTGATATGTAGATAATTACATTTTGCCTTTTGGCCTTGATTTCACTTTGCTCTGGATGCCTCAGTGGATTTTACTGATATCTATTCTTAATCTTATCTTAGTAACATCTAAAGAAAACATTGCAAAACTTGCTGTATCACAGCACAAAACCAACAGTTTTTGCATTTCTCAGCCAGGTTTCCAGGAAGTGGGTTTCACAGTCAAGAAGCTGAAAAAATTAATTCTCCCTAAACTTGTTTTTCAGGATTCCTGGAGACAATGGCTGAAAACACATTTAAGATGTTTTTTCAAAAATGTTTACTCAACAATCTTTTCTTACATATTAATTCAGCGTTTAAAACTCGATTTGCAAAAAAAAAAAATCTTCTTTGTTGTTTTCTTTCTTTTCAAGAAAAATTTACAAGATTATGGTTTTAGTTTTTGAACATCTGACAGCAGGAAAATCCTGTTTCACAAAGACGATTTACTCACAGCTCTAAATTTTCTAAACCTAAAACTCTGAGTTTTCTGTTTCTCAAACACTTTCCTAAACCTCTGTATCTGTTGCCGTGGTAACCTCTCCTCAGAGCTAACCTGGTTGGGATCGGGTTTCTTTCATTGTCTTTTATCTCTGCTCTCCTTAGAGCCAATCACATTGTCTTATTTTCTGATTTAATAGAGTTCAGTCATAGGTTTGTGTGAACAATAAAAATCATTCTGTTGGGCACATTAGGTATAAAGTAAAAACATAGCATGTCCTATAGATGAGCATCCATTTAAAGAATCAGGGCGTTAATTTACAGAGAATTAAATATTTAAAGGGAGAGGGTTCTTATACCGCATATAGATGTCCTTTCATATTCAGGTATTTTTGAGTGCATGACTTCTTTAACAGGTATTTATAAGTAATTAATATCAGTTATGGCACATTGTTTTGTGATAATAACATTATAAAAACAATTGAACAGTCAGATTACTACTTATTTAATCTATCAAACTGAGGAGGAACCCCATGAGATAATGCACAGGTCCTAGCTGGTAGAACAACTTTTTTATCCTTCGTCTTTATTCGCTGACAGGTGATTTCACCTAAATACAGTAGATGCATTGATCCATGACCATTAAAGCAATAAAAGTTTTATCCCATGTTATCGCGATTAGTTATTTGTTTGCCTGAATATGTATTTATTTTATATCTACATTTTTTCCTTTGTCAAAATGAACTTTTTAAACAAAATTAAGTTCTTCTACCTATAATGGATGTCTAGAAATGAATCTCCATATTTACTTTCTACACTGGTGACATGCTAACCCAGCATGATGATGTCACCAGACACACAGTAGTGGGGGGACCGAGGCCACGCAGCTTACCAGCGGGGGGGTTAGACTCAGCTTGGAGCCAAACGCTGATTGTTAGTGGAAAATAAAGAAATATTTTATGTATTGTTTCACACTGGATCTTGCGTGCTTCTTTATTATCTTCACAGCTTTACTGAGAGATGCAAACTTGCTATCTTACATTACTTTGCCCAGGGTGCATATGAACAGCACCATACCCCTCATAACTTGATGTTATTGTATATAAACACAGAGAGGCTTTATTTACAAAAAAAAATGAACAAAAATAACAAATATTACACCGGTAGGATGCAGTCATTTTTTCTTTAGAAAAACTTTAATATGTTTTTTGAGTAAGTACCTGGATTACGTATTACAGACTTTGCCCTTATAAGATGATAGAGAACTATTTTGAGTTTTATTTTGAGTATTTTAGGGCCAAATATTTGGTCTAATATTCTCAAAGATAAATTTTACATCAATTAGTTTGTGTTTGAGCATTCTTGATCCAGCTTTACCTATGTTTGTTTAGTAGTGGCATAAGATCAATAATGTTGGTAAAGTAATGACTGGGATAAGAAGATAAATGGTTAAGAGCATGGTTAAGGTTAAGCGTATTGCAGATATAATTAGTGTAACTGAAACCAGACATCTGTTTAAGACGAGCTGTCGTGCAGATGGTGAACCTTTTCGGTTTGAAAGATGACATGCAGATTTAAGAGATTAACTTCCTGTTTTTAAACATCTGACATTAATAAGATCTGGTTGATCTTTAAAACTTTTTAGTCATGTTAGAAATGTTTAAAATTTCTACAACATTAGCTGACTCTTGTTGCATACATTTGTCTAATAGGGTAATGGATCCTGCTGGCATATCATTTATTTATCCTTTATTTTTGCTAAGTGTGTGTGTAAAAAAAAAAATCCCTTCTGTGTATATTTTATAATAGCAACAGAGGGTGAACGAGGTATACTACTGTGCATGTGCACAAGAGGCAAATAAGGAAGTAATGCACCTAAAAAGGTTAGCACCTTACAGTAGAGTTGTAAAAATAAATTAGAAAACAATGAAGATGAAAAAGACTCACACAAAAAAAAAGTTTAAAGAGGCATTTATCTAGAACAGTGCATGGAATGCAGTATGAATATTGCCGTTTACTGAAATAGAAGCTAAAGCTGCCAAGGCATTAATAATAGGAATACTATTTTCAGTCTTTACAGTAGATAGTCTTATTTGTTCTTGCTGCTCTGTTCTTATTTGAGTTTGTGTCAGAGCTCAGAATAAAATGTTCCAGTAACCAGAGTCGGAGAAAACAGATTTCTCACAATGTTTTATTAACAACAGAATCGAGCGGACGGCGTTGGCGTCTCAGACAGGAACTTCTGCGGGTTGAGAAAGCAGGTTAGTGACCATCCACTTCTTTCTGGAAGTGGATGGTCACTAACAAGTGAGTCATTAATCTGGACTTATAGTTCAATCTCAGTCGAGAGGTGGAGGATTGTTCCGGCCGGCTGGCTGCCAGTGTTGCGTAGGTGTTGCT